GCCAGCGCTTTGCCAGCGCAAGGCCAATGCAATGCCAGTGGGCACCAGTGAACCCTTTTCGTTTATACTTCAGTGGAAAACCTTATGTTGATGATTGAACTAAGGATCCTGATCTAGAGGGTTTCAATCGGAGCTTTCTGTTGGGGAATGTGATATGACTCGTGCTGTGGGGGACTTCAATGGGAGCCATCTCAGGGGGAATGTACTAGGAATCCTTATATGAAGGCTTCAAGAGTAATACCATACACTTCACGTCCAAGGCAATGCTTGTGCTATGCCAGCGCTGTGCCAGCGCAAGGCCCATGCAATGCCAGTGGGCACCAGTGAACCCTTTTCTTCTATACTTCAGTGGGAAGACTGATGTGGATGATTGAACTGGGAATCGTGCTATAGAGGGTTTCAGTATGAGCTTTCTGTTGGGGAATGTGATATGACTCGTGCTGTGGGGGACTTCAATGGGAGCCATCTCAGGGGGAATGTACTAGGAATCCTTATATGAAGGCTTCAAGAGTAATACCATACACTTCGCGTCCAAGGCAATGCTTGTGCAATGCCAGCGCTGTGCCAGCGCAAGGCCATGCAATGCAAATGGGGCACCAGTGAAAAAGGTGTTCCATATGCCAATAAAAAAACCCGCCAGTTGATGATTGAACTAAGAATCCTACTTTTGGGGTGTCAGCAAGAACCGTCTGCGGAGGAATCTGATTGGATTCCGGATATGCAGGGTTTCAAGGAGAATGCATGCCACCGCGATCCCAAGACAATGCTTGTGCTGTGCCAGCGCTTTGCCAGCGCAAGGCCAATGCAATGCCAAGAGGCACCAGGGAACCCTTGTCTTCTACATTTCAATAGAAACCCTTATGTGGATGATTGAACTGGGAATCATGCTGTAGAGGGTTTCAGTAAGAGTCCTCCTGCTGAGAAATTTATCCCTCTATGAAGGGCTCCAATAGAAATGCAGGGCCAAGTCGATTCCAAGGCAATGCCTGTGCTATGCCAGCACTATGTCAGCGCACGGCCAATGCAATGCCCGGGGGCACCACACAACGCTTAACAAAAAAAGATTCCAATAGGAATCCTTATGTGGAGGACTGAACTAGAAGTCCTGTCATGGAGGAGTTCAGTTGGCCCCTTTATGTGGAGGAATTGAACGGGAATCATTGGATGCTGGGCTTCGGGAAGGGTCCAGTGCCACGGCAATTCCAAGGCAGCGCTTGTGCTGCGCCAGCGCTTTACCAGTGGAAGGCCAATGCAATGCCAAGGGGCACCAATGAATACTTGTCCTTCTATCTTCCAATTGCTAGTTTTCTGTGGATGATTGAGCTAGGAATCCTACTATAGGGGCACAGGGTTTCAGTAAGAGCCCTTCTGATGAGAAATTCCATAGCTAACCCTGTATGAAGGGTTTCAAGAGGAATTCAGTGCCAAGTCGAATCCAATGCAATGCTTGTACTATGCTAGCGCTCTGTCAGCGCACGGCCAATTCAATGCCAGAGGGCACAAATGAATCCTTTTCTCTATCGTGCAAGCGTAATCCTTCTGTGGGGGACTGAGCTAGGAATCTAGCTATGGAGGATTTCAGTAGGAGCCTTCTGAAGAATTCAATAGACATCCGTTTACGAAGGGCCTCAACAGTGGTGCAATGCCAAATCCATTCCAAGGCAATGCTTATGCTACGCCAGCGCCTTGCCAGCGCAAGGCCATTGCAATGCCAAGGAACACCGATGAATCTGTTGCCTTCGATATATATTTAAGTGGTAATGCTTCTGTTGGTGATTGAATTAGGAATCCTGCAATGGAGGATTTCAGTACGAGCCTTCTGTGGAGGAGGTCAACATGCCGCTGCTCTGCCAATTCTATGCAAGTCCGTGCTGATGCCAGTGCAATGCCAGCACGTGGTCGTTGTATGCCAATCCCGATTCACTGCGATTCGATACGGACGATATTGATTCTTTTTCCCGTATTTAACGAGGAACCCTTCTGTGGTTGATTTGGATTCGAATATTATGTGGAGGACTTGGTTAGGCATCCTTTTGTGTGTGTGCGCGTGGGGAAAAAAGGGGCTGAACATAGGAATCCTTCTGGTTCAGGATTCCATATGAATTGGTATTGCGGTGAGAGGGTATTCGGAGTTTTTCTTATGGCGGGATTCATAACATTCCTTCTGTAGAGGTTTCAACGGAAGTCGCCAGCGCAATCCAAGCGCAAGGCCAGCGCACCGCCGACACAATGCAGCGCAAGTCCTATGCCAAACCAAGCCATGCAATGTCAATGGGGGTCCTCAAGGCAGAGCGTTTATACTGAGCCGACATGAGAAATACGCAAACGACACGCCACCACCCATCCCCCTGAACAAAAAAAACAACATTTGAACCAACAAATATGCGCAACGTCGAGACGATAATGCCATTTGGTTTAATGCGCGCGGCGCCGAGGCGAGAATGTGGTTTTTGAGAAATGGGATGCTGTAGACCGCCACTTGAGAATCCCCCGCCCTCGAGAACGGGGGCCCATGATCAGCGTACCAGAAATGGTGTTTTGGAAGTATTCAGAATTATGCGGGCGCAGCAGTTATGTTGATTCGCAGAGTTGAAGTCCCCAAAACGGCGTTCTGGTACCATTCCGGATCGTCACGACGAAGAAGTCAGGTTGGTACGTGGCGCTGAAATCCCGAGAACAATGTTTTGGCACGCTTCAGGATCTTCAAACGGTTGTCTCCCAACGAGCCAGTTCCCTCAATGGAAATGAACCGTTGTAGGGGCCTATGAAAAGGGAGCTGGAGGGAGGGTCAGTTCCAACATCGTTGATGACTCTTGGGTTTACACTGGTCCTCCTCCTCCTCCTCTTTCTCTTTCCCTTTCTCCCCCTCCTCCTTTTCCTCCAGTTTCGCCTCCTCCTCCTCCTCCTCCTCGTCCTTTTCTTTCCTCCTACGTTGCGTCCCCTCCCTCCTCCTCTTCCTCCTCCTCCTCCTTTCTTCCTCCTCCTCCTCTTCCTCCTCCTCTTCCTTCTCCTCCTGCTCCTCCTCCTCCTCCGCGCAGGGAGGTGTCGGCATCCCCCCAACATACTTATACTATGTGTTCATCGCCCCCTCAGGGGCGACGCGCGCACCGAGAAATCTTGTAGTATATGCGTCGTGGTGGGCGCTTTCTGGCCACACCGCTCGAGAAACGATATACTACAAGATGGGTATACTATATGTTCGGGTCGGACGCGCGCCTCCATGGCGGACATATAGTATTAGTATGTCTCTGTGCGTCCCAAGGTGGGGAGGAGGCTCTGCACGCCCTTTTCGACTTCCCCAACGCCCGAAAGAGCGTTCTCTGAGCATGCTAAGTCAGGGCCCCTTCCCTCCTCGACAGTCGGGAGGGGGGTTCGAGCCCCTCCCCCCTTCTCCAGAGTGAAAGTCGGGGGGGAGGTCTTGAACAAGCCCTCCCCCCCCCCGCGGCGATGACGGCGACGACGTGTCCCGCCCGACCGGCCGATTGAGTCGCCCACGACGACGTCGATGACGTGTCCCGCCCGCCTGTCCGACTGACGGACTCCTCGCCGGCAAGCGTGGGCGACGACGACGACGAGGTCTGTGGGCGCCGGGGAGGGCTGAACCCCTCCCCGCCGAGTTGAAGGGGGGGTTCGAACCCCCCACGACTTTCGGAAGGAGGAGGATTTGGGGTGGGGGGGCTCCAGCTGGTGAGGGGGTGGGGCCGATTCCAGAGAGGAGGGGGGGGGGGACTTTCGAGGGGGCCGTACTCCAGAGCGGGGGAGGCCGGGATTCTGCACCAGTGAAGCGCACACAGCAAACTCCGCCTCTCCAGCGCCCGCCCCGGCCCCCCCGCCCTCCACAGTCGTTGTGGCCGACAGGGCGGCTGGGCTCCCCCCCGAGCGCCCATTCTTCTCTCCTCGCGGCCCGGGCGCAGCGCTCGCCTCCCCCCCCCCCCCGGGTGCCTCTGGCTGGCCTCCCCGGGCGGGCCATGGCGGAGGATCGGTGGTTCAGATCTGGACGCCCGGAATGGGTGCGGAAAGAGTGGGTGCAACTTGCCCAGCAGCAGTTCCTGTTCATTCTGAGCAGGATTCGTTGTCCACGCCGCCGCGGCCCGTGTCCATTCGAGACAGAAGGCCGCCTGCCCAACAGCAGCCGCTGCTGGTTTGGGACTGCATGTGCTGTTGGGCATTGTACCCATTCTTTCCGTGCCCATTTCGGGCGTCCAAATCAAAAACGGGGTCCTGAGGGATGGGGTCCTAAGGACGAGGTGCCTTGAGCAACGTGGACCCTCCCTGGGGCCCCTTCCTGACCTTAGGACCCCACCCCTCAGGACCCCATGTTTGAACCACCGAAAGGAGGAGAAGCCGTCCGAGTCCTACCCCATCTCGGGCAGCTTCGAGGGGTGTCACCGCTCGGGGGGTCGCCACGCTCTCGAGGAGGCGCAGCATCCCGGTGGAAGTGCCCCCACCAGCGCACTCCAGTGATGGGCCTGTTTTCCACCACCACCACCACCATAAGTTGGAGGGGGAGGGGGTTCTTCTCCTCCTCCTCCTCCTCCTCCTCCTCCTCCTCCTCCTCCACCTCCTTCCCCCCTCTAACTTATGGTTGTGGTGGTGGAACACAGGCCCATCATCCAGAGCCCCCCAGGACGGTCCCAAGCATACACAAACCTCCTCGAGCTTCGATGCTGGAACCTCGATCCTCGGGAGCTGGTGACCCCCTGGTGGTGACCCCCCCTGGCGCTGCCCGACGCATCTTCGCCCTCGCGCAGAAGAGGAGCCTCCTGCTGGGCGAGGCATGCGCGGACCGCGCGACGCTGGCGTCGGAGGTGATGGCCGTGGTGAAGGAGAAGAGCATGCTCCCGTACTACGAGACGTACCTCTGCCCGTCGCCACTTGGGCCGGCGGATGCGGCGCTCGTGGCGGAGATGAGGGCGCGCAACGAGGAGGAGCTGAGCAAGCTGGAGGAGAGCATCAAGGACGCGAAAGAGAACCTGGGGGACATAGAGATCCGCGACGCGATGCTGGCGAAGGCACAGTTCTTCAACCGCATCGGCGACAAGGACATGGCCGTCCAGTGCTACCAGGACGCGTTCGCGAAGTCGGTGGGCGTGGGCGCCAAGCTCGACAACATCCTCACGGTAATCCGGATCGCCTTCTTCTTCGACGACAAGGAGTTGTCCAAGAAGGAGATAGAGCGCGCCAAGGTCGAACTCGGAAAGGGCGGCGACTGGGAGCGCCGCAACAAGCTCAAGGTCTATGAGGGCATATATCACATGATCTTCCGCAACTGGAAGGAGGCATCGACGCTCTTCCTCAACGTGATGCCGACGTTCACGGCGACGGAGCTCGTCGAGTTCAAGGACCTCGAGGCGGGAATTTATACATGACCACCGCCTGGAGGGTCAGTTTTCGGAGCCTCGGCAGGCGGTGGATATGGACATATTCGGGCCCCCCGGGGGCCGAAATATCTGTCCATATCTACCGGCCGCTGGGGCACCAGGACGTCGGTTCCCAGGCGGTGGATATGGATAAATCCCCGCCTCGCAAAGGACTTCGTGTTCTACACCGTTCTGGTCACGATGCTCTCCGGGGACAGGCCGACGCTTCGGGAGAAGCTGGTCAGCAGCCCCGAGGTGCTCAGCGCCATCAAAGAGACGCCGCACCTCCAGGATCAAGTCGGGCCTGTCCCTTTACAGGGGGAATATTCAAGAATAGTCTACAATATTACGGGGTCGATTTTTTTTGATTATTATTGAGCATTATTGGACATTTTTTGGGGTATTTTTTTATCTTTCGTCCAAAATCGGCCTGTAAGGGGGACATGCCCGACCGACCTCCAGGAGTTCATGGAATCCTATTTCCACTGCCGGTACAAGCCCTTCATGCAGCACTTCGTGCCCGTGATCGACCACTGCCGGGCCGACCGCTACCTCAGGGGGCACGTCCGCTACTTCCAGCGGAACATGCGGCTAAACGCCTACAGGCATTCGGATGCAACTCCTGGGAGGTCAAATTCTGATTTTGCCCTGGTCCGAAGTCTGGCTTAATCCCGCTTAATCCGGCTTATCCCGCCTAACCCCGCTTAATCCGGCTTAATCCTGCTTAGTCCGAGGCCCTTTCCGGCGTAACAGCCCCCCAATGGGGCTTAATTCTCTTTAATCCTTCCGACGAAAACCTGCCATTAGTTGCCTCCTAAGGCAGTTCCTGGCTTCCTACCGCTCGGTGACGCTGGACGCCATGGCAGCCGAGTTCGGGGTCTCCGCAGGCTTCATCGACACGGAGCTGGCGTCCTTCATCTCGTCCGGCAAGCTGACCTGCAAGATCGACAAGGTCGGCGGCGTCGTCGAGTCCAACGAGGCGGACCAGCGCAGCCAGGTCTACACCGAGATCATCAAGCAGGGAGATCTGCTGCTCAACCGTATGCAGAAGCTCTCTGGCGCCATCGTTAAGTCGGGCGTGCCCCTCTATAGGAGGAATCTTCCAAAATAGTTAGAAAATAGTATGGGGACTATTTTTTAAATATTTTTCAACCATTTGGGGGCATTTTTAAGGTATTTGTCATTTGTCGTCCAAAATCCCCCTGTAGGGGGACAGGCCCGACTTAACGCCATCGACGCGTAACTGCCCCGCGGCGCCGGCGAGGTGGGGTCGCTCCCCGCGCGCGCGGGCGTGCCCGCGGAGCGCCCTTCGCCTCTGGCGCCGTCCAGCGCCCCTCGCGCGCTCTCGCCCATCCTCCGCGCCTGCGGCCGCGCCCCCTCCCTGCGGCGCTCCCGCTCCCCGTCGCTGCGTCCCCGGCTTCTTCCCGCCAGAAGCGTTGGCTGAGAGCGCGGAGACGGAGAAGGCTATCGTGGCTGGCCGCGACGGCCAGCGTGGAATGGGGGGGCGTCCTCCTCCTACTCATCCTTCCTCCCTCCTCAGTCTCCTGGGCCTCCTCCTCGCGCTCTCTTCCTGCCTCCCCACCATCCCCGCTCTTTTCCCTCCTCGCGGTCCTCCTTCCCATCCCAGATCCTCGCTCTTGTCACCCTCGCCCTTCTCCTTCCCAGCCCTCCTCCACCCTCTTCCTCGTCCTCTCCCTGTTCCCCCCCCCTCTGAGGTCGCGTGTGCGCCTGCGGCACATGGTGCTCGACCAGGGGGGGCGATGATTCGCGGGGGCCTGGTCACCCACTGCAGGTACAGTCGGGCCGAGCTGTAGGATCCGAGGTCGGTTCGGGGAGGGTGCCCTGATGCTCTTCGTGCTTGTGGGGCGCTCTGGTGCACCTTCTCGGGAGGGTACCCTTGAATGCTTCTTGTGGTGTTGGCCGGCGGGCGATTTTTCGGGAGGGTGCCTTGGTGTTCTTCGTGCTTGCTGGACGCTCCTGTGCAACCCGGGGAGGGTGCCCTTGGATGTCCTGTCTGTTTTGGCCGACGGAGGGCCTCCTGTTCGCGAGGGACATTCTCCTGGCCTGCAGTGAGCGGCTTGAAAAAGGAGCACTTACTTTTCAAAAGGGGCTCGGTCGTTCCTTAGGCTTGCATGCGTTATTTATCGTTCCCTACGCGTTATTTATTATTCGTTCATCGTTCCCTATGCGTTATTCCTTGGAAGACAGGGGCTTCGTTCCTTATTTATCGTTCCTTAGGTCAGGCCGATGACTGTAGGTTCGGCCGTACTCCGGGGAGGGGAGCTCCTACTGTGATGCCAGGGCACTGGCATCCCCCTCTGTCTCCTTTGCGAGCACCGCGCTGCAAGGCAAGGCTCATGTGGACAAGCCTCCGCTCATGCCCATACAAGATCGCCCCCCTCCCTTGCGGATGATCCTCCTCCCCCTCTAACAAAACAAAAGAAGATGATCCACCTCCCCCTCCGAGGAGGAGGACGAGGAGGCGGATTTTCCTGAGGGATGTTCTTCTGGCCTGGGTCCGACTGTGCTTGCTCCGTGCACCCCCCCGCGGCCGAGAGCGGCGTCGGCTGCGGCACGTCGGGGTCCGCGTCGGGGTCCGGCGAGTCGCCCGAGCCCTCCCCCTCGGCAGCCGTCGTCGGCGGCCTCCAACCAGGAGGGGGCAATCGGCACGGACGCACGGAAGCGTCGATTCCCAGGACGAGGCGGGCAACGATGGGAAGTGGAGGGGAGGCGGCGAAAATCAAGAGCACATGCAACCATACATGGAATCCTCGGGATTGTGTTCTATTTATGTGTGCGTGTGCGTGTGCGTGTGCGTGTGCGTGTGCGTGTGCGTGTGCGTGTGCGTGTGCGTGTGCGTGTGCGTGTGCGTGTGCGTGTGCGTGTGCGTGCGTGCGTGCGTGCGTGTGTGTGTGTGTGTGCGTGCGTGCGTGCGTGCGTGCGTGCGTGCGTGCGTGCCGTGTGTGTGTGTGTGTGTTTGCTTGTGTGTATGTGTGTTTGCTTGTGTTTGCTTGTGTGTGTGTTGTGTGTTTGCTTGTGTGTGCGTGTTTGTGTGTGTGTGTGTGTGTTTGTGTTTGTTTGTTTGTGTGTGTGTCCCTGGGCCCTTCATCCCAGAGCGGCGCCTCCGGCTCCGCCACGTGCAGCACGCGGAGGGTGGCGGTCTCGCCAGGGCCGGGCTCAACCGAAACGATGTTTTGCCGATGTGGTGGGCGTTGTCGTTCTGATGCCGTTCTGCAGCAGAGGACGGGACGAAGGCAGAACGAAGAAAAACCAGCCGGGGGGGAAGCGGAGTCCCCGCGACGCGCGCTGGTCGCCCCGAAGGGGTCCTGGCGACGCGCGCGGGTCGTCCGCTGCGCGGAGCAGAGGAGCGAGTAGGTCCTGCGGAAAACGGGTCCTGACCGTTTTGGTCGTTTTCGGGCTCCCGGAGCCCTCCACGGGCCCCAGGACTATCCGAAAGCGGCTCGGGATGAAGAGCTCGTCCTGGGGGAGGGTCTCAGGGTCCAGGGCCCGTTGCCGTCAGGACCCGCTTCCCCCAGGCCAACGGAAGGACAGCCGCTTGCAACCATCGCAGCACGGCGCGCGCGCAGGCGCGGGCCCCAAGCTGGGGTTATGGCCAGCAAGCAGAGCGGGGAGCCCGCCGCTGGAGCCACAATCCAACGACGGCGACGACGACGACGACGATGCTGCTGCTGATTGTGATTATGATGGTGATGCTGCTGCTGCTGATGATGATGCTGAGGGAGATGATGAGCACAATGATGATAATGATGCTGCTGATGATGATGAGGATGCTGACGATAATGATGAGGATGATGCCGCTGATGATGATGACGTCGATGATGATGACGACGATGAAGATGACGCTGGCGACGTCGATGACGATGCTGATGGTGACGATGATGACGATGATAATGATGCTGCTGATAATGATGATGATGATTATGACGACGAGGATCTTGATGTTGTTGTTGTTGAGGCTGGTAGTGATGATGGTGGTGGCGATGATCATGCTTACGATGATGATGCTGTTAATGCTGCTGCTGACTCAGATGACAATGATGTGTTATGATGATGGGGATGGTGACGTCGACGAGGAGGATGTCGAGGATGGTGAGAATGGAGCATACTGGTGGTGATGATTGTGTTGTTAATGGGGATGGTGGTGGTGCTGATGCTGATAATGGTGATGATGCTCTATGACGATGGTGGTGGCGGTGGTGGTGGTGATGATGCTGATGATGCTGCTGATTATGATGATGATGATGATGATGATGCTGATCATGATTCTGGTGTTTTGCTGATAGTGACGATGATGATGCTGCTTCTGATGATGGCTGATGCTGACGGTGATGGTGTTGATGACGACGATGGCAAACGACGATGGCGACGACACTAATGCTTATGATGCTGAGTATGCTTATGATGATGACGATGGCGATGACGTCGATGACGACGATGGTGACGACGATGACGATGACGATGACGACGACACTGACGACAATATTGATGATGATGGTGATGATGATGATGATATTGATGATGATGAGGACGATGAGGACGATGCTGATGCCGATTATGATGATGAGAACGAGGACGATGATGCTGATGCGAATGCTGATGCTGATACTGCTGCTGCTGCGGATGATGATGCTTGTGCGCACGATGCTGATGAGGATGGTAAAGGTGGGTTCTGACGATGGTAATGGTGATTCTGATTATGATACTGACGGTGACGACGATGATGACGATGATCATGATGATACTACTGCTGCTGATGAGTCGATCGCGATGATGGTAATGCTGATTGTGTCAATCGGGATTCTGGTGATGGTGATGCGACTGCTGCTGCTGCTGCTGGTGGTGCTAATGCTGATGATACAGCTGATGCCGATGACGATGATGGTGACTATGATGCTGATACTGATTGGGTGGTGATGATGATGGTGGTGATGACGCTGATGATGCTGCTGACGATGATGAGGGTGATGATGATAGTGATGATGATGCTGATGCTGCTGACGATGGTGATGACGATGGCAATACTTATGGTGTTGCTTACGACGATGATGATGAGAACGACGATACTGTTGCTGCTGATGATGCAGAGGATGATGATGCTGACGGTGATCATGATGTTGTTGTTGATGATGACGATAGTGATGATGGTGACGGCAATGATGATGCTGATGGGGAGGAGGAGGAGGAGGAGGACGAGGATGATGATGGTGCTAATGATGTTGATGAAGCTGATGATGCTGCTGCTGATGATGATGCTACTGCTGATGACGATGATGCTGCTGCTGATTTTGACCTTCATCATCCTCATCAGCATTAGCATCGTGAGAGGGAGGACGACAGGGAGAAGCAGCTTTTGGAGGAGGAGGAGGGTCAGGAGGAATGCCGTCAGGTGGAATGAGAGGGGAAGGGGGAGGATGGAGGGCGAGGGCAAGGAAGGATACGGATGGAGGAAGGATCGGGGAGGAAGTGGACCAGGCGGAAAAGGACGAGGGGTGTGGGATCCATGCTCTAGGGCACGCGTCCCTTGAGGCTGTCTGGCGCCACCGTGCGGGACTGCACGCTGCTGCAGGGTGAAGAGAACATTCCCGCTCTCACGTCTCCCATTCCTGCTCTGCCTCATCGTCCTTCTCGATCTCTCGCTGCACGCTTCCCCTCTCCTCTCCTCCACCTTGCACCCTATTCTATCGGCTTTCTCCTCCTTTGTCTTTCCGCTCTCCCTCCTCCCCCGTGCCCTTACCACCCTCCCGCCTGACCCCCCCCCCCCTTGCTCTCCCGCTCCGCCTCACCCCTCCGCATACCCAATCTGAGCACTCCTTTCATCTCTCCCCCGTGGACGTCTTGCACTTATATACGGGGTTCGTGGGAGCTCGTGTGTGCCTAGTGCGCTGGGGTGGGTTGGACAAGGTTGCGCCACGTTATCGCCCGTGCCGCGCTCGTGGGCGCCCCGTGCGCTGGGTGGGGCGGCCGAGGTTGCGCCACGTTGTTGTTTTGTGCCGCCTCTTGGGCGCTCGTGGGCGCCCTGCGCGCTGGGCGGGTCGGCCTAGGTTGCGCCACGTTGCCGCTCGTGCAGGCTCGTGGGCGCCCCGTGCGCTG